AGTTTTTAAAAAATCAAGGAAAAGAACGACAAAACAATAGTTGAGTTTTCAACAGAAACAAAGATAATGGGTTGTGCTGAAAGAAAATTGCCAATATAGAAGGGTATCGATCCATGTTACAGTGGAGGCAAAATATATTTTCAAACTAACATGGGATTTATCAGCAGCGGGCTGATACTAAAAGCCTTATTAGAGGGAATAATTTCTTCACCATAAGGAAAATTGTTTTGAATGGAAGTGGGGGGATGCAGGAGGAAGTGAAGAGCAAAGGAAAGGGTAAAAATGTAATGAATGTTGACTGTGTAAAACCATATCCCATCTGGCGGGGTTTAAAATTTGTGTTAAAAAATAAAATACACCAAAACAGGAGTACAAAGTTGGGGCAGAAGTGTGCTTTTATTGTTGAGACATAGTAAAGTTCGTCTCCCAAATATAATACATTTATAAATAGTCATTGGAGAAGAAATAATGGAAATTTGAATATATTTTGAACTAAGTGGTCCTAAAAATACAGGGGTGCAAAACTCATAAGATACTGCTAAAGATGTGATGGCAACAGCCGTGGTATAGTGTTGGAATCATTCTGAAATCCTAAAAACAGACCATTAAATAGTAAAACCAAAACAAATACCTGTAACAAAACTGAAATGACAAGTTATCCCCAGGGTCCCCAAGGTATGAGTGGAAGGGGACAGCTCACTAACAGCTATAAGACATGTATTCTAACTTGGTTTGTGCTGGAGGAAGGAGAAGAAATAGTGCGTCTGCTTAAACTGATAACAGGAATAAATATAGATATTCTATATGTAGAATATATATAATATAGATGTTAATTTGAAAGAAGGACAGCCCAGTCTGAGAATAATAGCTGCAAGGGGGAAGGGGAACTTTGAAGTCTTCTATCTGAAGAAGCTAGAGCATCTTAGTTTTCAGGACAAAACCCCATATAGAAGAGTAACTTCTGGAAATAACTTTCAAATGGAGCAGAATAACAAAATAGAAGCCAAGGAAATAAAAACATCCAGATAAATGTGGGAATGGAGAAAAACCCAGCTGATCTCAGCAAAAATTCGAGACCATAGTAAGATTTCACAAAAACAATAGAAGTTCTCTCTAATGCATGAAGCTAGAAAAACTATCATGATAAAACACTCCTAAAAATTGAGAGAAAATTATTTCATGTAATATTTAGTAACAGTAAAAGATCAGTCAAATCCCATACAAAGTCATTATAGGCAAAAAAAGTTCAACATACTTGTAAACACTGAAGGCATGCCAGAGAGACGTGTTCACAAAATATGACAACTGTAACCTAATAATTAAATAGAAATAAAATCGTTATATGAATGAATAAGCAAATTGCAGCTATGAAAAGTCAAAAATGAGGTAATTATTTCATAAATGACTACAAGATAAACACAACAGATCAGGTCTTATGAGAAAGAGGGTAAAGAAACTTAGAGAAAATGCAGTTGAAAAAATTGAGCAAAATTCAACAAAATAAAATTTTCTATAGAAGAAAAAGCAGTGAAACAACAAATATTGGAAACATTTGCTGACAAAAGTTGATGCCAATAGGTTAGTTAATTTAATGGGAAGATGAGGGAGTTCCTGTATGATTGTTTCTTTTTTCTCTATGAAGTACTGTTCACCCTTGAGCACTGGAGGTTAAGGGTACTGACTCCTGTGCAGTTAGAAATCTGCATATAACTTTTGACTGGAAAAATTTAATTACCCACTGTTGACTGGAAGCCTACTGATAACAGTTCATTAATGTATGTTTTGTATGCCCTACATATTATATCTGTATTCTTACAATAAAGTAAGCTAGAGAAAAGAAATGGTGTTAAAATCATAAGAGAAAATGCATTTTTACTACTTCACCATATTTATGGAAAAAAATATCCACATATAAATGAATCTGCACCGTTCAAACCCACATTGTTGAAGGGTCAACTGTTTAAGACATAGCTATCTGAAGATAATAAAGGGAGTTGGTGACACAGCAGTAGGTTTGATGAAAAATGAAAATGACATTCTGAGGTTAAAAAAGTGAACATACTAGAGTATGGTAATGGGATAGTTAAGCGGTCTTGAGTGTTCATTTGAAATTTATGGTCATGAATTCATAGTGAAAAATCAGCATGGTTGCGTGTTTTTGTCCAGTATAGTTCTGTAGTTCTGAATCAAAGTCAAGACACGCATGATTTATTTGGAGTTTTACCAGGTATGTATCAAGAAAGGAGAGAAGTGAGGAATTAAAATGTTGGGATTATGGGGCGCCTGGGTGGCTCAGATGGTTAAGTGTCTGCCTTCGGCTCAGGTCATGATCCCAGGGTCCTGGGATCGAGTCCCGCATCAGGCTCCTTGCTCAGCAGGGAGTCTGCTTCTCCCTCTCCCTCTGCCTCTCCCTCTGCTTGTTCTCTCTCTGTCTCTCTCGCAAATGAATAAATAAAATCTTTAAAAAAAATGTTGGATTATGGAGGATAAACTATATCACTAGAGACAAAACATGAAGAACAGGAAAAATAGCAGAAACAGTGGACTCAGTAGATAGGACATCTCAATGTCAAGAAATTACCAGAATGAGACTACTAAACTAGAGGCTCAAAGCACAAGAGGTTATGTTTGGAAAATGGGAAAAAATAAAGATTTTGGAGTGGTAAAAGATTTAAAAGACAGGATCAATAGTAGGAGTATGATACCTGAGTTGGTGAAGTGGGGGTGGAAGAACAGATCTCTAGAAGTGAGGCAAAGAATTGGGAGACTAAACTACTGGATGGATCATCCATGTTGGTAGAGTCACTAAAAATAGTAATGTGGAAAGAGAGTTAGTTTAAATTATTATGAATGGAAGATTATTAGATTGAGCAAATGGTGAAGTTTGATGTCTTGAATTGCCTTTCACTTCTCTGTTGGCACTTTTCTTCTTTGAATTATAGTTGCTTGCGTGTGTCTTCTGCCTTCCTCATGGACTCTAAGTACCTTGCACATAAGAACTATGTTTTACTAATCTAATCCGTCTGTTTCATGTGACGCTTAGCATAATAGTTTTTACACAATTGAGTTGCTCAATTGAGTTATACATCTTTTTAGTTTTCTAGACTTTTTTTGGTATTTCAACCAAATGAAATTTTTGTTTGTTGAAAAACAACAGTAAGGACTTAACTGCTTCTCATCTTAAACTACGTCTATTTTCATAATGCTTGTTTTAGTTTATGTGTAATGTTAACAGTTGGCTATATGACAAACTTAAATGAGTCTAGTTTGTTGGTGTGGTCACAATGTCTCCATTTAATAATAAAATATAATAACTTTAGGGGGGTCACTAAATTAGAGTCTTAGGAACAATAGAGAAAGGGCTACTTTTTATTTCCAAAGTTTAAGAAGGAGAATACTTGACATGAAAACATTTTCATCAAACCAGTGGATTAATACAGTTGTAAAACAAAATTCTCCAGATCTATCTACCTACGCCTTTCCATTTTCATGGTTTTTTGTATGGGAGTGGAAGAACTGATGTGATGGAATGCAGGGATGGGAAAGAGGTAAGACACCAAGTAAAGTGTCAGAGAAGGTTTAATAATGTTGTTCCCCCATATTTTTGTATATTTTATGTATATCAAATTATATATAATTATACATATTGATAGCATATCTAAGTATATGTAAAACATACCAAAATCTATGTAGAAGATTAATATGCATATTAATGTGTATATAATTACTTAAAATTCTGAAACTGGCAAAACAAAATTAAGATTGGCTAGATATGTTTATGTTTTGGAAAAAACTATAAAGAAAGGTGAGGGGATGGTAAATACAAAAGTCAAGTCCTTTTTAAGGAGAAGGGGCAGGGCTGGTGATTGGCAAAGGGCCCAAAAAATGGAAATGAGCATTTAAACTGGCAGTTTCCTTTTTGAATGTTTGTGTTTCAACCTAGACATATGTCTTTTATATTGATCTTTAGGTGTAATGTATTTCACAATTAAACAAGGTTAACTTTGAGAGGAATCTGTGATTTTAGTCTTAAAAGAAATATGCTTGCTCATCTTAGTAATTCTTGCATATATGCATAATGGAAGTAGCAATTTGTAGAGAGGGTTTGTGTGTGTGAGACAGAATTACTTGCTGGTTAGATTAAGTTTTACTTATCTGTCTTTTCTATTAGGGTTAGTTTATTGAAACTTAATTCTCTAGAATAACAACAGCATGGTTTATTATAAAAAGTCATATTTTATAAAGACAATGTCAATTTTTCCCCAAATACCTTTCAAATAAGGAATTTGTAAAGACATTTTATTTCCATGTATGTATACATACCTATGTACATATATACACATTACACATATATGTGTATACATAGTTACTGAAACATAAAAATACACAATACCATTTTAGAAGTTATAAGTCTATGTTTATAATCTTTGTTCAATAAGGTGTTCAAAGTTATAAAGTAATATATTTTTAAATTAGGACTCCCTCACTTGTGATCATACTTTTATTTCTCATTCTTTTCATTTCAGAAATGAAATATGTGTGATTACTCCCTTCTTGTGCAATCATTATTTTAGTTAAAAAAAAAGTTTGTTGAAAATCCACTTACTGACGAGGCTTTTAATCCATTCATAAGTATTTCCTTTTTTAAACTATGAGCCTTTAATTTTATATTTGGAAAATTTTAGACCACTTGCATAGAATATTTCCTTCCTATATTCAGCATACACAAAATCTGTTCAAATGATGCAAAATACTTTCTTAAATAAAATTCCTAAGATGTTTATCTGACAAGATATAATTGCTATTTCCAAATAAATACTGCTATTTAGTCTAGCCATATATAGATTTTGTACACATCAGTATTTGATGATACAACTAATATATTGCACTTTTAAAACTTTTCAATATAATGAACTTTATGGATTTTAGTTTTCATTTCGAATACATTGGGAAATATTGTCAATACCATTTACTAATTACCATTTTTCAATAAATTACAGCTAAACATTTACCATTTTGGAGTTTAAAGTATGTCATCATGGCAAAGTTTCGAAGAAGGACTTGCATCATTTTGTCACTTTTTATTCTATTTATTTTCTCCCTGATGATGGGTTTAAAAATGCTGAGACCAAATAAAGCTACTTTTGGAGATCCTTTTGGACTTGAACTTCTTCCAGTACTTCATCAACAAACTCGCTTAGGGAAAGACTTTGATTCCCAAAACAATGACAAAATCAACAGTGAAACAAATAACAAGAATTTAAAAAGTGTTGAAATCACTATGAAGCCTTCCAAAGCCTCTGAACCTTACCTGGAAGAGCTGCAACCTCTGAATTATTATTTACATGTATTTTATTACAGTTGGTATGGAAATCCACAATTTGATGGTAAATATATACATTGGAACCATCCAATCCTGAAGCATTGGGACCCTAGACTAACCAAGAATTATCCACAAGGGAAACACAGTCCCCCGGATGACATTGGCTCCAGCTTTTACCCTGAGTTGGGAATTTACAGCTCTCGGGATCCTTCTGTCATTGAAACTCACATGAAACAAATGTACTCAGCTTCAATTGGTAATTATTTGTGTGTGTGTGTGTGTGTGTGTGTGTGTGTAGAAATGTAGACTGTTTAAGGTTACTAATTATTCTTCACATTGTTAATTACAATTTTAAGCTTATAAACTCCAAGTTAAGCTGTATGTATGTACTTAAACATCCAGGAAACCACCTTTTAATACTACTTTAAAATACATTATGTAATTTCTAATTTTCAGAATATTTCTGGATATATTTTTATTGATTTCTAATATATTCTTTCTGAATTGTATTAAAGTATGATCTACATAAGATACAATGAATTCTCCCACTTCAAGCATACAGCTCAATGATGTTTCTCTTCCCAACATGAAGTAAAATATCCTATAGCCCAGAAACTTTTGTCATTCTTCCCTTATGCACCCCCATATTCTTCCCCAGGAAATTGTGAATCTGATTTTTCTCACTGTAGAATAGTTGTGAATGTTCTCTTACTGTATGGAGATAGAATCATCTAGCATTTGTGTGTGTGTGTGGTCTTTTGCTTGGCACATCATTCTGAAGTTTACCCTTGTTGTTAACTATGTCAGTAGTTGAGTCATTGTTACTGCTGAATAATAGTCCATTGTATGATTATAGCAATTTGTTTCTGCATTCATCTTGATGAACATTTGGACTGTTTCAAATTTTAGGCATGTAGTATATCATTTGGTCTTGGTTTTCTGTTTTTTAAACCTTGTCTAACAATCTCTGCTTTTTAAATTTGGGCTTATTTGTATTTAATAAGGATATGGTTTATTTTAAATATTCTGTTTGCTGTTTTTTGTTTATCCTGTCTGTTCTCCTTTTTCCTCTTTTTCTGCCTTCTCTTGTATAGGATATGTTTATTCCATTTTCTTCTCTTCTTATTATATATTTCTTTTATTTATATTATGAGTGCTCTAAAATTTACAGTATGCACTTTAACTTAACTGATGAGAAGTCTCTGATTATTTTTATTCCCCTTTTCCCTGAACTTTGTCTTCCCTCTAACTTCTGGCACTCCAACTGCACACATTTACATAGAGTCATTATCCCACAGGTAATTAATAAAAAAATGCATAATTGGATGCCTGAGAATTCTTCGAACTGTTAATCTACCCTCTAAAATAAAAAAGTCTGTTGTGTTTCCTCTATCTTGTTAGTGTCCCTAACACTAGGGCCACAAGAACAAATTGGGTGTTCTCACATTTTTATAGCTGTACAAAAGGCACAGACTCACTATTGAGCTAATAGGTATATAGAGATGTGCAAGGCTTTTACATGAACAAAACAATGTAGGATTCTGTGAATCTGCATCAACTATGCAAGATGACTTGTTTTTCGTTTTTCTTCTGTAATTATTTTTTTCCAACTATTTAAAAAAATTTAATTTTCTAGTATATACTTATAGCTCCAGGTTCTATGTTCTATAATATAAAATATGAAATAAGATTCAGAGATCATTGACTACAGTCTCTGTTTACTTTTGGGGAGAGGACTTTTCAATGACTTTACTATTTTGTACAAAGCATTTATATCACATTTAAGCCTTTTTTGTTATTACAAGGTTGGCTTGTTTGTGACTGCTATGCTTGGCAAAAATGGATATCCATGGAAGTTTCAGATTTCTTTAATGAAAACTGAACTTTATGCAATGAGTGTCTCCCCCCCCACCCCCAGGTATGTTTCATCTGAAGAAATAATATGTGAATGACATACTTTGTATGTTATTATTTGTAATTAGGAAGAAAACTTTCAAATCATATCTAGTTTTATGCCTGTCTTATGTTTATGAAGACCTTTCCCCCGTATATTATTTTACTGCTGCGTAATATGTGTGAACATGAGTTACTTCAAAACATTGTCAACAATACAACTATTTTAATTTTAAATGTTGACTGTTTCACTATTGATGCAAATATTTTATATCCTTTGATAGAAATAAAAGTGATATTGCAGTCCATCTATAAATTATTTTCTTATCAGTTAAATATTGTACTCATTTTTATTGAAATACTGACATTTAACATTCTGTAAATTTAAAGTATATAGCGTAGTGATTTGATATATGTTTGCATATGATTACCATTGTAGCCATCAGCAAGCCGTTTTATCACATCCCATAGTTATCATTTCTTCTAGTGGTGGAAAAAATGAAGATCTAGTCTCCTAGCAAGTTGAATGTTTTTAATAGTCTTGATGTCTATAATCACTGTACTATGTATGAGATCTCCACATCTTATTTATGTACTAGTTGCAAGTGTGTACCTTAAACAACCTCTCTCCCATTTCCCCACTCCTGAGCCCCTGGTAACCACCATTTCACTCTATTTCTTTGTTTTGTTTACATTTCATATAAGCTATCTGAAAGTATTTGTCTGTGTCTTCTCAGCATAATGTCCTCAAGATAACATCCATGTTGCTGCAAATGGCAGGATTTCACTACTTCTTCTGGCCAAATAGTATTCCATTTTATATATGTATATGTATATATATCACACTTTATATGTATTTACCTGTGTGTGTGTTTACACGCATGCGAGTGCATCTATCTATATCTATCCGTTTATATGTATCACCATGTCTTTGTCCGTTCACTCATTGATGGACACATTTTGGCTGTCGTGTAATGTTGCAGTTACACAGGAATACAAATAGCTCTTTGATAACATTTCATTTCCTTTGGATTTATACCCAGAGTTGTGACTGCTGGATTATACAGTAGTTCTATTTTTAATTTTGGGGGGGAACCTTTATACTCTTCTCCATAGTGGCTGAACCAATTTAGATTCCACCCAAAAGTGTGCAAGGTTTCTCTTTTCTCTACATCCTTGCCAACACTTACTATCTCTTGTTTTCTTGATAATATCTGTTATAACAGGTATGAAAGGCTGTTTCACTGTGGTATTGGTTTGTATTTCCCTGGTGGTTAATGATGTTGAGCACCTTTCATGCCAACAGTGGCGAGTCTTCTTTGGAAAAGTGCCTGTTAAGTTCCTCTGCTCATTTTTTAATTGGATAATTTGTGGGGATTTTTTCATTATTGAGTTATAGGAATTCTATGTATATTTTGGATATTAACCCATTATCTGTTAAATGGTTTACAAATAATTTATTTGCCTTTTCATTTTCTTAATTGTTCCTTTTGCAGTGTAGAAGCTTTCAGGTTTGATGTAGTCCCACTTGTTAATTTTTTCTTGTGCTTTGGGTGTCCTATCCAAATGTTTAATTCTGATCCATTTCTAGGTGGTGTAAGAGTCCAATTTTCTTTTTCTGCGTGTGGTTATCCAGTTTTCCCAGCATAATTTGTTGAAGAGATATCCTTTCCCCATTTAATATTAATATTCTTTGCTCCCTTATCCTTTACTATTGACTATATATGGGGGTTTAATTCTAAGTACTGTATTTTGTTCTATTGATCTAAGTGCCTATCTTTATGCCAGGATCATACTGTATAATTAGTATAGCTTCGTAGTATAGTTTGAAATCAGTAAATATGATGGCTCCAGTTTTGTTTTTCTTTGTTGTCTTTGCTTTATCTGTAGAGGAGTCTTCTGTGGTTCCATACAAATTTGAGGATTGTTTCTTTTATTACTATGAAAAATGCTATAGGAATTTTTTTTTTGGCTTGAATAGTGGACGGATTTTTAATAATTTTTATTTAAATTCAATTAATTAACATAGGGTATTACTAGTTTTAGAGGCAGAGTTCAGTGATTCATCAGTCTTATGTAACACCTAGTGCTCATTACATTCTGTGCCCTCCTTAATGTCCATCACCGAATTACCCCATTCCCCCAACCCTCTCCCCTCCAGCAACCCTCGGTTTGTTTCCTATGATTAAGAGTTTCTTATGGATTGCTTTGCTCTGTGGATTTTTTTTTTCCTTTTAAGATTTTATTTATTTGTCAGAGTGATAGTGCACGCACAAGCAGGGAGAGTGGCAGGCAGAGGAAGAAGCGGGCTCCTCACCGAGCACGGAACCCGACATGGAACTTGATCCCAGGACCCTGGGATCATAACCTGAGCCAAAGGCAGACACTTAACTGACTGAACCACCCAGGTGTGTCCCACCCTCTGTGATTTCATCTTGTTTTATTTTACCCTCTCTTCACCTATGTACCTCTGTTTTCCTTTTTAAATTCCACATGAGTGAAATCATACGGTGTCTTTCTCTGATTGACTTATTTCACTTAGCTTAATACCCTCTAGTCCCATCCATGTCGATGTAAATGGTAAGCATCCTTTCTGATGGCTGAGTAATATTCCATTGTGTGTGTGTGTATATACATATATACACACACACACACATCACATCTTCTTTATCCATTCATCTGTCGATGGACATCTCAGCTCTTTGCACAGTTTACCTATTGTGGGCTTTGCCGCTATAAACTGGGGTGTAGGTACCCCTTTGGATCACTACATTTCTGTCTTTTGGGTAGATACCTAGTAGTTCAATTGCTGGGTCATAGAGTAACTCTATTTTCAACTTTTTGAGGAACCTCCATACCGTTTTCCAGAGTGGGCTGCACCAGCTTGCATTCCCACCAACAGTGTAGGACGGTTCCCTTTTCTCTGCATCCTCGCCAACATCTGTCATTTCCTGACTTGTTAATTTTAGCCATTCTGACTGGTATGAGGTGGTATCTCATTGTGGTTTTGATTTGTATTTCCCTGTTGCCAAGTGATGTTGAGCATTTTTTCATGTGTCTATTAGCCATTGGTATGTCATCTTTGGAGAAATGTCTGTTCATGTCCTCTGCCCATTTCTTGATTGGATCATTTGTTCTTTGGGTGTTGAGTTTGATAAGTTCTTTATAGATTTTAGATACTAGCCCTTTATCTGATATGTCATTTGCAAATATCTTCTCCCATTCTGTGGGTTGTCTTTTGGTTTTGTTGACTGTTTCTTTTGCTATGCAAAAGCTTTTTATCTTGATGAAATCCCAATGGTTTGTTTTGCCTTTGTTTCCCTTGCCTTTGGAGACCTGTCTAGCAAGAAGTTGCTGCACCAA